CGATTGACGTGTATACACTGATGTGTATAAAATGGATGACTAATAAGAAACTGCTCTATAAAAAAATAAATTAAATAAAATTCAAAAAAAAATGTAGGGACCGAACAGAATCCCTTTTTGGTAATGGGGTGGCCATAAGTCTGGTTCTCAGCCCCCACCCCCTAAAGAATCCATGAGCTACCCCAAATCCTTTTCATAAGTTTCTTTTATGCTTTGATCAACTAAAGTCAGTTTCTGTTGCATATAATTAAACCCTGACTGTTGCAGAGGTGTATACAGGGAGTGGGTGTAAACAACAGACCCTCAGGAAAAGAAGAAGAATCTGAAGATTGGTTATTGGGCCTGTTGGGATCAAGGGCAGTGAAAATCCAGCTTTAAACAATGGGACTCTGACAGATCAGACATACAATGGTGAAAGAGTCAGTTAAATGAAAACTTCCAGTCACATAAAACGAAGTGCCCATTGAAAGCAAGGCTCTAAGAGGCTGAGTGGCTATTCTATAGAACAATGAGGGGCATATAGACTTCAAGCTCATATACTAATTACTCAGCTCAAGTGTCCACCTAAAAACTAAGGACTTGTTATGACTGTGATGGAAGAATCTCACATTTCTTGCAGAGGCAGGAACAGGGGAAGAGGTGTATTACTGGGGCCAACCAGGTCAATCAGTGGAAAGCCAGAACTATAGCAGGTCTGCTCTACTGGAGTTGGAGTCATGGAAGTGTTGTAGCTGGTGGTGGTGGTTCTACCAAAGCAGAGAAGGAGGGGGAAAAATATCCCAGCTTCTCCCTTTCTCTTGCCCTCCAACCTCTTAACTCACACAGAAGTCAGAAAACATGACTTACTTATATCAGTTTGCCTGTGATATGGAACAGAGGAGGGGAAGGAGAGGAATGGATATGAGCAACAGATTCAGACATGATACAAATGGAAGGTTATCTTTTCCACAGTCTAGAGATATATAACTACTGTCAGATTCCAGTGTACCTAGAAGGCAATTACAAAGTCAAACCCAATATGAGAGCCAAATAAGGGTAAAATTTTTTTGATTTGTATTGGCAAAATCTAAAGCATACATGTTGAAATAGACCCTGAGAGTGCTTGCTAGACCAAGGAGGGAGCAAAATAATTTTAGATTATACTGAATTTATTTGTATGGATACTTTACCAGAGATCCTTCAATAGGCTAGCTTGAGTAGCCAGAAGAGTTCCAATTATTTGTTTGTTTGGTTGGCTGAATCTCGGACTAAACAGTGGTCTACTAAACAAAGTTAAAGTGTCATAAATTCCTTGGTATAAAATAGAGTTTGGAGAAGGGATAGAGAGGGGAGATTGGAATATTGAGGACATTTCCATGTTCAATGTTTTCTCCACCCACTAACTGAATTTCTAGAATGGTTCCAGAAGACAATCCTTTATTGAAAGTGTTGAGAAATACATTAGTGAGGGAAACACTGTCATCTTTGAAAAATACTATCATGGCTATTCTCTGTTTAGGCCGAGGATTGTCATAGGACGCTGCAGTTGAAATGGGCTCCCTGATTTCAATAGGGCTACCAGGATCCTAGGGTGGCAGACTCCAAGCAGTAGCACTAAAGGCAAGGTGGACATGGTTACCAAATAGGCACAAGGAAGTAATTCAGATGCTAGATGAATAATAAATGCTCACTACTATCTACCTCTTTGCCTGTCCATTGACATAACTCCTTTTCCTAGTAAAATAAAGCTTCCACCAACTATAACACAACCAACCATTAAAAAACAAAACAAAACCTGTTAATGTATTCCAATTATCTTCAAAAGATTCAATCTAAATCTCACCAGTAACTGCATGTCTACAGTCTGTGGGTGATGGTCACCCCTCTGATAACTGCTATTTTGTCTAAAAATTCTATAATCTGAGCAATAAATTGTAAAATTAACCACCACCAACACACTATTAATAATGAAGGAAAGAAGAGAAAAATTATTTTAAAATAGATAAATTGCTGCATTTTATTGAATCTAAGAATCAGTTGTAAAATAAACCCTTATTTTATGTACCATTAAGGGAAATGATCCATTAAATGATGACACAATACTTTCTCATCACTTATAATTTAGAGCTATTTTATAATTATTTAATGTAGATATAGATTTTTATCTTATAAAACTTTATGCATACAAAAAATTAAAATATAAGATTATATTGATTATGGTATTCCTCAGACTTCTTTATATTTATAGTCCTACCCTGAATTCCTCCGATATTATTTCTCCAACAAAGATTACTTGCCCTACTGCTTTCATTCCATGCTTTTTTCTGAACATAGAATAACTTTTCATTTCAATGTGGAATTGTACTGCAATATTTTAGAAGGCATTTTAAAGGACAATTAAACTAAAATGAGTATTATCAACAATATCCATAACTCAAATGCTATGAGTTACTGCTATGACCAAGTAAGCATATATGCATATAGTAACTATACCATGAATGTTGCCTGGTTACCAACAATAGCAAGATAATCAATTTTAGGATGCAGCCTTATTTCAAAGGTGTTGAAAACGTGAAAAAAATGAGCATCTTAGAATTGATGAAATACAATAGTTAATGTAAAACACACATGATACTACAAGGAAGAAAATACAGATCTGTAGTTATAGTTCTTTCTTTTCTGGTGGTATATTTTACTTCTGTCTCCATTAACCCTTTCATATTCTATTTAGCTTAATCCAGCACCTCAACTGTTGTTGTTTGTTTGTCTGCTTGTTTGTTTTATCCAGTAGGGTAAACAAAATCTTCATTCTTGAGGATTTTGAGTCATTGGTGGCTCTACCAACATAGGGTTACTGTAATGGCAATTCTTGTCTTTTTTCCTGCTTTTGTAATGGGTCACTTTATGTAATTTTCCTTTAGCTACCCATAAGATTTTCTCTTTATCAATTATTTTCAATATTTTGACATTCTTATTGTGGTTTTCTTTGTGTTCATTATCTTTAGGTTTTCTTGAAATTCATGGCATAATGGGTTTACAGTTTTCATTAAATTTGGAAAAATTTTGGTTATTTCTTCACACTCCCCCTCCCCTTTTTCCCCTTGGGACTCCAATTACACATATGTTAGACTGTTTGGTATTTTCTTACAGGTCATTGAGGTTTTGTTCCTTTTCTCCTGACTTTATCTTTCTGTATTTCACTTAGGATAGTTTCTATTTCTAGGTCTTCAAGTTCACTATTTTCTTCTTGGTGTGGAACATGCTATTGATCCTATCTCATGGACTTTTCATTACAGACTTTGAATTTTTCAGTTCCAGAACTTCCTTCCTTCCTGTGAGGTCCTCTCATGTTGGATTTGTGACTCGACTGAATGTCATTGTTTCTCTCAAGGCAGCTGACCCTATAAGACTCTCTCTCCTTCCAGGTTCTGGTAACTTCTCCCAGTCCTTATCCCTTCAGTTCTAGCAGTGTTGATAGCTTCTATGATTGCTAGCCCCGGGGTTCCTACACTACCCCTTGTAGTATTCCTAAGCACTGCTAACACCTTGTGATTAGCCTCTTTGCATACAAACCTCTTAGAAGAATCCTCACTTAAGGTGCTGTTTCCTGTTGAGACCCTGACTAATGCATTGGTGTGTTAGAAAGTTTTTAAAGTATCTAGTTTCCAGTATCTTTGCTAAACATACTTTAGTTTTAATAGTTTGTTTCTAGAAATTCTTGAATTTCCTATGTAGACAATCATAGCATCTTATAAATAGTGACCCTTTTGTTTTTTTAAATACTTATGATTTTATAATTTTATTTTCTGTTCTTTTTCTTTCTTATTTTCCTGGCTAAAACCTCCATTATCATGTTAAACAGAAGTAACTATAGTTGTCTCATTCCTGTAATGTGATGCAGGTGATGGTTCACCATTAATAATACTTATTATAGATCTGGGGTAGATACCCTTTTATAAGTCAAGGAATTTTTCTTCTCTTTGAATTTATTATTTTAAAAAGTCATGATCAGGTATTGAATTGTATTGAATGGTTTACGGCATTGTTTGAAATAATCGTAAAGCTCCTTTCTTTTCCTTGTTCTGCTCTCCCTTGGGGTCTTGTCTCCATTCTGGCAGTGGCAAATCAAGGTCAAGGACTCAGAGACTGTTCTTCCTAGCTCCAGCCTGGAAGGGCAGGAATGGAGCCCTGTGGGTCCTCCTGGGTAAATTTTGGGCTTCTTGGAATCTTCCGTGTGGAGCATTACAAGATGCCCATGAAGGCATCATTTTAATGTATTATTTTGCTTACAAAACAACTGCTTAAAAAAAATCCTGATTTATTCAAGACCTCCTTTCTGTTGGAGTTAGGAGAGGAATTAGTAAAGAGAGTGTTGAGGAGAGAAACCCGTATGTATATTGCAGCAACCTTATGAAGTAGGTATCTGTATGCTTGGCTTACAGGCGAGGAAACTGAAGCCCAGAGAGGGGACATGCACTGCTCAGGACAATGGCAGAGTGAGATCCTGGACCTCTGATGCCATACCTTGTGCTCACAAACACTGCCTGCTTCCTCACAACAGGGAAGTGAGACGTAGGTCTCACCTCCCACAAGTGTGCTTCTGTCTTTCCCTGACCCTTGGATCCTCAGCTCTAAGCATCTCTGAGTCTAGCCCCACCCTCCCAGCAGTTTTTCAGTTTGGAAGCGTTGTGGCCCTCCGACCTTGCTTCCAGACCCTCCTGGGGGGTCTGTGTAACCTGTCAGTGTTATGAGTGCTGTGTATGTATGTGTGCAGGGGGGCGGGGATAGGGTCTGGGTTCCTCTCTGGAAAAGGGATGGGAGCAGAGAGGGGGGGGGTTCTGATTCTGTTTTCTTTGTGGACCAGGCTTGGTGCTGAGATGGGACGGGCACTTACTGTTGCCTGGTCTGCTCCTTTCCCTTCTGTGACCGCAGGCTGGACAGCTTCCAACTGCCTGGTGACTGAAGGTTCCCGGCTGCCTCTGGTCTCCCTCGCCTGCCCCTCCTTGTGGCATGCTCCTCAGTGACAAACCTGACACAGACCCTGGAGGCTGTGCCCCAGAGTGAGGCGGGGCTCTGTCTCTCTCGTTCCACTTCCATTCTGTGCCTGGATGCCTTCTCCCACTTCCCTGGGCTCAAGGTCCTGGGGCTGAGTCTGCATCTCACCCAGCTCCTGCCAGGAGCTCGTGGCAGCTTGGGACACAGCTGTAGCAGCTCTTCTTCCAGGCCCCTATACAGTTTACCTCTTCCTAAGCTCCCTCCAGGCCTCGCTTTCTTGGGCCCCTGCCTGGATGGCAACACGGGTGTCCAGTTTTCTCCCAGTCTACGGCGGCTGAGTGTCAAGTATAGTCGCCTTCAGAATGTGGGGGAGCTGGCAGACATCTTCCCAGACCCGGTGCATGGCCCCTCCTTTGGCGATGCCTGGCTTCTGGAGATCTGGACCTGTCATTCAACAATCAGCTGAAGATGGCCAGTCCCGGGGCCCTCCAGGGGCTCAAGCTGGGGACTCTGTGTCTGGACCACACAAAGATGAGGGCAGCTGCAGTGGTGGGACTGGGGCTGCAGAGCCTGGACACCCTGTCTGTGATCAATGCCGACACGGCCAAGCTGCCTGCTGGGGCAGTTGCACACTTTGAGTTGCAGGAGCTGAATTTGGCATCCACTCTTGTAGGGCACATAGCTCTGGAGTCCCTGGCTTCCTGCCACAGCCTGAAGAGCTTGGGTCTTAAGAGCAGTGGCTTGATGACTAACCTGCCACCAGGTTTCCTGGAGGCCATGCCCAGCCTTCAGAAACTGAACTTGAGTAGGAACCAACTGCAAGTGCCATGCTGGGCACGAACGAGACAGGGGCTGTGTCAAGACTGCGGGCCCTGGATCTGTCCAACAATGGGCTGCACACCCTGTCCCCAGTCACCTTCTCATGCTGTCCCAGCTGCAGGAGCTGCTGCTTCAGGGAAACCAGATGATTTGTCTGCAGGGCCAGGCATTCCAGGGCTTAAGGAGGCTGGGGAAGTTGGACTTGGCCAAGAATCCACTGGTAGACCTGGGCAAGGGCTGGTTGGCTCTGCTGCCTGCAGTAACCGTCCTAAGCCTCCTGGATACCCGCATGGTGCTGAGCTCAGCCTTGGGCTTCCAGGGTGTCTGCATACCTTGAACTTGCATCTCCCCTCTGGCCCTTCCGGGGTAGTGTTATCCCTGCCCATGAGCTTGACCAGCTTGGAGTTTCATGCGGTCTCTGGCAGGAAGCCTGGGATGCTGGCTTCTAATGTCTTTCCAGTCTTGCAGACCTTGACTCTAAAAGGCTGGGGATTGCAGCTGGGGACCTGGAATGTCACCAAGATCTTCCCTGCCCTTTGCCAACTCTCCCTGCTTGGTGATAGCTTGCTTGTAGGCCCTCTGCTCCCAGGACACCTCCAACCTTTTCCTCTGGCAGCTCTCCAGGCTCTGGTATCAGAGGGTAAGGGGGGATGGGCACAGCCCCAAGCCCTGCTGCATGACGGGCTGTCCAGCCTATGGGAGCGGAAGCCGCAGGCACTTCAGTCCCACGCCTGGCCCTGCTCAGTGTTGCTTGAGGAGCTGCTGGGGGAGCTGCCCAGGGCAGGTGCTGCATCTGGTCAAAATGGGGTTAGAGACACTGTCTGCGGCTGCTTTCCAGGGCTTGGGAAGTCTCCAGGTCCTAGAGCTAGACTGGGGGACAGACCTCACGCTAGATGGCAGCCTCCAGGAGCAAAGTCCCCAGATGCCCCAATACAGTAAGTCCCCTACATACAAACAAGTTCTGTCCCGAGAGCGTGTTTGTAAGTCCGATTTGTTCCTACGTCCAACAAAGTTAGCCTAGATACCCAACTGACACAACTGGCTACATAGTACTGTACCGTAATAGGTTTATAATGCTTTTCACACAAGTTATACATAAAAAACAAACACAAAAAATAAAACATTTTTAATCTTCCAGTACAGTACCTTGAAAAGTACAGTGGTACAGTACAACAGCTGGTGTACAGGGGCATCGGGTGAACAGGCAAGAAGAGTTACTGACCGGAGGAGGGAGAGGAGGTGGGAGATGGTAGAGCTGAAGGATCGTCAGCTATAGGAGTCGGAGGGCAAGCTGCAGTTTCACTCACGCCTGACGCTGATGGCACAGGTTCTGGTTCCTTGCTGGATTCAACTCTATCTACCCTCTTGAAAAAATGATCCAGTGATGTCTGGGTAGTACCTCTTTTTTTCTCATCATAGATGACACGGTAGCACTGGATTGCATTCTGAACGGCTGCTGCAACCTTCGGGTACCGTCCTACGTTCAGGTGCTGTGCCTCAAAAACTAACAGTGCCTCCCGAAATAAAGAAAATCCCCTGCCGTTTCCTGCATCGTGAATCTCTTCGGTTCTTCAGTTACTTCTTCCTCTTGTGTCTCTTCGTCCTTTCTCTGGGCCTCCGATTCCATCACGTCTGCATTAGTAAGCTCCTTGAGTTGCCCAGCTGCTTCTGCTGATCTCCTTGCCCTTCCTACAGGAAGCCAGGAACTCCTGGATCCTCCATCTCCAGGCCTTGTTCAGGGCTTGGCTTCAGGGTCCGAGGAGTCAGAGGGGTGAGGGCAGGAGGTTCCTTTATGATGTGTTTGTGTCCCACTGAAGGCAAGACCAGAGCCGGGTGACTGGGGAGCTGCTGCCTACTCTGGAGGGCCGCCCTCCGATGGGCCGGGGGCTGCGCTTCTGTCTCCTTGAGTGGGATTTTGAGCCAGGCAAGGACGTGGATGACAAGGTGGCAGATGGCATGGCAGGGAGCTGGGTCACGCTCTGTGTGCTGAGTTGCCAGGCCCTGCACACCCCATGCTGCTGCCTGGACCTCTGCCTGGCTACCTTCCTCCTGCTGGCTGCCCCCACCCCCACCCCCCAGGGCTGCTGCTGGTCTTCCTGGAGCTGGTCTCCCGCCACCAGCTCCCTTGTTGCTCTAGGCTGTCCTGGCTGCTCTGCAGAGGAGACTACTGCATGTGGCCCAAGGAAGATGAAAGAAAGGACGAGTTCTGGGCTTGGCTGAGGAGCAGGTTGGGGCAGCCTGGGTTGGGCTAGAGTGGGTGCATGTGTGTTGGAGGTGCGGGGAGAGGAAAAGCAAGCCAGCCTAGCAGGGAGAGAGTGGGTACGTGTGGGTGTGTAAGCCTGCCTCAGCTTCTGGCAGGAGGTCAGGGTGCTGTGTGTGTAGGGAGGATCAACTGGTGGCTTTGGGGACAGAGGCTTTGGAAAGGCTCCGGAGGCTTTCCAAATGAATGAGAAAATTTGGGAGATGGCAAGTGGCAGTGCAGTTTGTGATGTGATCTCAAAATCTCCAAATCCTCAGTAAACCTACTAAATCCATGAAGTTCTTGGCTTAATTGGACTTTTTGTTTTTGATGGAAACCCACATGAGGCAGAGGGCAAAGGGGTTGGGGTCATGGAAACTGTAGCCCAGAGGAAATAAAGTTGGGAATTGATGGAGAGTATGGGGACGGAAGGAGGGCTCTGAGCACTTTTAAGCTGTGGAATGGGGTCCAGGCCAAGTTCAACTAGATCTTCAAGGGGCAAAGGGGCCCCTTGGCTTATAGAGGAATTGGCAGCTGAGGACCCAAAAGCTGGGATACTGTCCAGGAGGCAGCAGATTGATTGCCTGTTCCCTCAATAAGAACACAAAGGCATGGTCATTTCTATCATCTTGTTTGAGCCTCATAGCAGCACTGGGAGGGTAACCCGCCCCCTTGACACTCTGTGCTCTAGCTGTGCTAAACTACTTGTACTCCCAGAGCACCATGCGCTCTTGCCTCTGGGCCTTTGCACATGCTGCTCCTTCACCCAAGAACACCCTTTCCCCCAATTTCTTTCCTCTGGGGAGAAAAGTATCCTTTAAGTATCCTTTAAGATTCAGCTCAGCCATGACCGGAAGCCATCCTGATCTCCCAACCTGGGTAAGCTGCTGCCTCTGGGTTCCCACAATCTCCTGCACTTCCCTTTCTCAAAGTACTGATCACACTGTACTGGCCTTCACAGGTCTGGGAGACTCTTTTTTTTTTTTTTTTTTTTTTAAAAAAATTTATTTATTTAATTTATTTAGTTTTGGCTGTGTTGGGTCTTCGTTGCTGTGCATGGGCTTTCTCTAGTTGCAGCAAGTGGGAGCTACTCTTTTGTTGCGGTTCACAAGCTTCTCATTGTGGTGGCTTCTCTTGTTGCAGAGCATGGGCTCTAGGCGCACGGGCTTCAGTAGTTGTGGCTCTCAGGCTCAGTAGTTGTGGCTCGTGGACTCTAGAGCGCAGGCTCAGTAGTTGTGGCGCACAGGTTTAGTTGCTCTGTGGCATGTGGGATCTTCCTGGACCAGGGCTCGAACCCGTGTCCCCTGCATTGGCAGGTGGATTCTTAACCACCGCGCCACCAGGGAAACCCTGAAAAGCATTTTTAAAATGCTGGATAAGGGACTTATCTGGTGGTCCAGTAGTTAAGAATCCACCTTCCAATGCAGGGGACGAGGGTTCAATCCCTGGCTGGGGAACTAAGATCCCGTATGCTGCAGGGCAACTAAGCCCGCCGGCACTTTAGACCCTGCATGCTGCAACTACGGAGCCCACTCCCTATGGAGCCCGCATGCACTCCACAACTAAAGAGAAGCTGGCGAGCTGCAGCTAAGACCTGATGCAGCCAAATAAATTAAAAAAAAAAAATGCTGGATAAAATATTTTTAAAGCTTCCTAGATGCTTCAAATAAATGAATTGGCAAATTACTCAAGAATACTCAGTGGCGGGCTTCCCTGGTGGCACAGTGGTTAAAAATCCTCCTGCCAGTGCAGGGGACACGGGTTCGAGCCCTGGTCTGGGAAGATCCCACATGCCGCGGAGT